CTGTTGGCCAAAGCAATCCATTTTTGGCCTGCTGAATCATGACATAACATATCTGTTCGCCCATCTCCGTTGAAGTCGCCAACATGTAGTTCAGCGCCCGTATGATAACACCATCCCATGTTCTTGTACCAGGTGTTTCCAGTGAACTGGCCGGCGCTGTTGGCCAGGGCAATCCATTTTTTGCCTGTTGAATCATGGCATAACATATCTGTTCGCCCATCTCCGTTGAAGTCGCCAAAATGTATTTCAGTCCCTGCATGATTGCACCATCCCATAGCTTTATGCCAGCTTTTTCCTGATCAGCAGAACGGTAAAGAGTTGTTACTCKCGTGCATATCTATTAGTTTTGGCTTTGCAACAGCAGTTTTTATGCATTGCAGAATAAAAGTTTTATCAACCAAAATTGCATGTTTTTAATACCAAGATTTCGGGCCGATCACCCATCGTCAGGGCGGCAAAAATAGTGTACAAACCTAAGCACGCTCTAACATAAAGCGAGGGAAAACAATTTTTCATTTGTAAACAGGGGCGTATCCCGGATTTTGTTCAGGGAGGGGTGCAGCGCACAAAGTAAGCCCAGGGAGGGGTGCACTCCTTAGAATCAAAGAGGAAAAACAATATTGGTTATCTTCGAAGTAGGGGCACAAAGTCGAACTGGGAGGGGGGAGTGCGCACCCCCTGCACCCCTCCACTGGACCCGCTCCCGGTGGAGGATGTCTTCAATCGTAAAACAACTATTGTTGTCGGGGTATGATAATATTTAAATGGAGGTTATCAATATCGTGAACTTCATTTTGTAAGGTAATTGGACGCACTCTTTGTACGGAAGTCGATAGATGTGACGAGTTGACCTTTACAAATTGTTATGGGGAACAGTTGTCGGTGACGAGTTTTCACCGACCAGCCTTTGATAAAACAGTGGCCAAAAATTGATCAGCACTTTAGAGTTTCACATTTAGTCAAGTGTCATTTTTAATATTATCTTAGCGTTATCTCTGGGCGACTTTTGGTTCGCGGTACGTTTACCGTTGTAAATGAATATCAGCTAATGTCTTCTGGGTCATTTTAACCGCAGTTTACATTTCAAAAGATTTTCGGTGATRACCTTGAAGACGTGAAAATATTTGCGACCTCGCATTCTTCTTAAGTTTTGTTTTTGTCTTGTTGTTGTTGTTGTTTTTGTTTTTTTTTTTTTTTTTTTTGTTTTGTTTTGTTTTTTTTGTTTTTTTTGTTTTCGTTTTGTTTTACTCAATGAAAAAGTTTGCTTACAGTAACTAACTTAATAAAATTCGAACCGAAAGGCGAACTTTGAAACAGCCTCAGGGCTAATCAATCTATCYGTCAGGGCACGAACAATTTACATATGGGATTGACTACATCAATATTTAGCGAGTAACAAGAACTTAGAATTTTATCCAAACTTTTATAGTATCTGCTGCAGAGAATAATTGCACAGACTTCCAAACCAAAGGCTAATGACTAATATTTCTTTGGACGAGAGACCAACTTGGAATTTAGAACCTCGAGAAAACTCTCCGAACATCAAGAGAACATCAGAGGCAACCACATTTATGAGAATGAAAATTTTTTATCACGAGTATTATCAGCAAACCGTACTTACGGAACTCTACTATTTGGGGACGTGCCCGTGGGTAGAATATCAAACAAGCCACCAACACTAGTGACTTCGAAGTCGTCATTGCGTCGATATGTCAACTTCCTTCTATACAACTGGTATGAACGTGGATCTAGATTTAGCTTGTTGGATGTAGCTTATATAGCATTTGGGTGACCTGCTCCGGTCACTCCGGAAATCACTAAATTTGACTACTTTCCAGGATATTTGAGAACTGAGTGACCTTTTTTCATAAACAAATAATCAAAAATAGTTCTCTTCACAGTTCCCCTGCGCCATCTTGGAAGGTAGACGTGCCTTTGCGTCGAAGCGAGACGAACAGTGAGCTTGCAATGATAGATACATGTGAATAATTGTTAAGAAAGGCCTCTATCATTGCAAGTTCACCGTTCGTCTCGCTTCGATGCAAAGGCACGGCTACCTTTCAAGATGGCGCAGGGAACAGTTAAGGGAACTATTACTGTGTTTCATCAGCGAAATAGGAAGTAGCCTTGGGCATTCGTGTTATTTAATCCGATTTCTCTAAAACCATTGAAAATACGGCCAATCAGATCCACGGAACATGGTTATATTTTTGGCATTGTTCCACGGTCTCTAGCCTGTGTGGCCCTCTGGTTGGGGCAAGGGGGATCGGGGGAGAGGGGGAAAGGTAGGAATTCTATCCCTCGATAGGAGGATCCCGCTGCTGGAGGTGGTCTGAGATAGGTCTAGGATCGATCTCGGAGTTTTCGATAGCCCAGTGTGAATGAAGGTGTCCTAGGAACGGTCTGAATTGCCGGGAAGCACCGGTGGCGTGCGCTACTAATGCTACGCCTCTCACCAATGCGGCCCGACTTCGAGTTCTGCCGATCTCGGTGTCGTATGTGAGTAGAGTTGTTTGTTGGTTCTCTCCTGGGCTTCGAGGGTTTTTCTCCGGGTTCTCAGGTTTTCCTCCCTCCTCAAAAATCAACTACCAAATTTTAATTCGATCTCTGGGCTTTCACTTAGTTTGGAGCCTAGCTCTGTTGTGATTGTCCCACGCTGTGATACAACAGCTAATGTTAGTAGATTTTATAGATATACTATTACTGACCGAGACGCCTTTTCTAAAAGGAGGAGGCGTAAACAGGGCCGGTTCGTTCAAAAGCACCTATATACTTCATGTAGAATCAATACTGAAAAATATTGAGTTAGGGGTGAGGGGCACTTTAATCATGGATCTGTGGGACAATGGCCAGTTTGGATAGCGTTTGTCTTGGTGTCATGGCGAACTAGATCCCACTACCCGATGCAAACATGTGTTATGTACCTCTGGTTACGCCGTACACACTTTTTACCCCTTTGATTAGTTATTTTAGCACTATTCTTTTGAATCTTATGATAGAAATATTCCTCGTAGCCTTTTCTATACATTTACCATATATTCATACATTAACTTTGGTTTAAGCTATGTTTAGTTCTAAGATTTTTACTCGTATTATTCTTTAATAAGATATCACACTTAGGAATTTACTATTTCCATTAGCCAATCAAGGCACAGCGATAATATCATATTGATTGTAGAATGACACCTGTCATGAAGTTATTATAAATAGAGCTCATGTAATTAGTTTAAGTCAGAAGAGAAAGTGGAATAAAGATCCCGGAGCTCGTACCGAGAGCGGCCGTCCCATGACACATGGAATCCTCACTCAACTATGCTTTTTTATCATCAAAAGGCTTAAAGGGGCACTTGGAAGAAAATCGATGGAAATTGGTTCAACTTATCTATATCGCCCCAAGAGTAGCCAAGCGACATATTTTCTTCACAGTAAAAGTGGCAGACAAAAATTATCAATTTTATTTAGCATCTAAATTGTGAGTAAATGACGTCATTTACTCAACCCTATTGTTCTTTTCACTTTTAAACGAAAATTGCTCAACTGCAAGTGTCTCCCAGGCTAAAATGTTCTCTAATCTGGTTTTCATAGTCATAATAGTCCCCTTCACAGTTCCCTGCGCCATCTTGAAAGGTAGCCGTGTCTTTGTATCGAAGCGAGACGAACGGTGAGCTTGCAATGATAGAGACATTTTTTAACACCTTAGACAATTATTCGCGTGTCTCTATCATTGCAAGCTCACCGTTCGTCTCGCTTCGATGCAAAGTCACGGCTACCTTTTAAGACGGCGCAGGGAACTGTGAAGAGGACTATTGAGTCATATTATCCTCAGATACTTCAATTGTTTGGACTTTCAAATATTGTGGCGCTTTCATTCCCAACCCCTTTAAAATCCTGGCCTACTAAATGCCTGGCCAACATCCTCGTAGTCTGGTCCTGATACATTCTTGTGCTGTAGTGTTTCGTATTCCGCGTTTACTCTTGGTTGTAAGTCCATGTATTGTTCATGTCCCGTCATGCCTCGCGTATGTGGTGTTTCACTTTTTCTAGGTCTGTATCCAGGCTCTCGTATCGACTGGTAATGCGTATCACTGCTTCCTCTTGGTTGCAATGCCATGTAACCTGGAGTTTCTATTTCGTCAGMTTTTGCAGTTTCTGATGTTTTTGAATTTTTAGTGTCGTTATCTTGATAGTTTGTGTGCGGGACCATGACATCATTGGTGACCCCCGTTTCATCTGTCTTCTTTTTCATATTTTTACTGATTCTTTCATTGTATTGTTTTTCTTTTTTTCTTTGTCGGTATACCAAATAAGTGATGCAGATGATCAGACCAAGGATGATCAATACAAGTGGAATGACGTAAGGTACAACTGTTAATAAATCAAAAGATGGGTTGATCATTTGAACACTATTGTGATCAGGGATGCTTACCTTTTACCTGAAAAAACTGGAAATTCCGGTTTAAAAACAAATGGTATGTGTCATTCCATTTCGGAAGGTTCCGGTAAACTCGGACCAATTGAGATAAGCCACTTTTCCCGCTCTTTTCGGTCCTTCCGGTAGACGCGTGTACCATTTTTTGGAAGAAAAACGTTTCCCACTCTTTTCTAAAAATAACCATAAATTTGAATCCGCAACTTTCACACCGAAACCGAAAAAAACGTTTTCCGTCTACACATGAAAACAGATAAGATGTTCCGCGTCCACACTAGTCCGATCAGAGGCGGCAAAAACGCTTCATTGCACATCTGAGCATGCGCATCAAAGCTGAAATTGAGTCCGCGGTGAATTTTTAGCCTTTCCGCCATGTTCCCATGACAATCATGACGTCATCGTATTCGAAAAGTTCCGGATACGAAATGTTCTCCGTCCACACTAATACGGCTAGCCGGCGTTTTCAAGTTGTTCCACTATGGAGACCGTATTCGAAAAATTCCGTTTTCGGTGAAGAATTGTTCCGGATTCGCCCGGACTAGTGTGGACGGTAGGCCTAACCGAATAAATAAAAATTCGGATTCAAATTTATCCGGCATAGTGGACCGGGCCTAAAGCTGAGCAAAGATAACTCGAAACTGGAGTATCACACCATTAGTATATGTAATAGGACTCCATGCTTTCCAATTAAGAAATAATTGGATGAGGAAAATTCCTAGGACTGACAAAATTGGATGATGCCGTAGGCCGAGTCCAATTTGGCAGTCAGAGGAATTTTTCGAGTCTAATTATTTCTTGATTGGGGAGCATGAAATCCCATCACCTATTAATTATATAGCCGCCTAATTAATCCCATATTAACAAGACCTGTCCAATTAAGAAAATAATTGGACAGTTACCTATATGGGATTAATGAGAAGCTGTATAATTAGATATCGCTATACCTTCGTTTGTTTTGCTTTCACTTGCGTTACCTTTACATGTGGTTTGTTTCTTTAATTCCACTCTGTTGATTCGGTAAACCATGGTTCTTTCACTGTTTGTTGCAGTACATATGTACGTACCAAACACCTTCTCACTATTAAGTCTTATAATCAAAATATTTCCCCTTATCTTGATGGCTGGGCTATCAACTAATAATAGAGATCCCGTTTTTGTCCAGAAGTATGTTATTGGCTCAGGTACACTTGTATAACAGGCAATAGTAATTTCATCGCCTTCTAAAGCCCAGATTGTCGAGTTGGAATATTCTGGTGCATCTGAAATGACATATTATACAAGTTTATATAAGTTTTTTTGTTTTTTTGTTTTTTTG